AGCACTTCCTGTTGTACGCATAAGTTAATTTGCCCGTGTGCATTGCCCTTTAGAAGCTTTACCTATTCTGGATTGTGGTTTGGTTTGTTCTTTTTGCCGATACTAGTAGTAATAAAAATTATAATGATAAAAAATAAAAGAAGATGACTTACCAAACTAAATATTGGCTAGTGTAACAATGATGCAAAAAAATTAATTATTAATACAATCACTAATACAATCACTTACAGCCTATGAAATAGATAATCATGATTACATTGACATGATTATATGCAAGCTTACTGTGAATGGTCTCTATTGTTATCCAGGAAAGAAAATTTTGATCAAAATGAAACTAAAAATAACTTCATAGTAAGTAACTCACCCTCTTATCATGTGCCATTGCTTTATCTTTGGCTTTATCAATCAAATAGAGTAACCTAATGTTATTAGTGAGTTGCCTTTTAAATGGCTAATCACCGCGTAGAAATAGAATGTCACATTCTAGTTATTTCCTTATTTTACTTGAGTAGTTACCGTATAGCGGGAAATTTTGGAGGGACTAAAATTTGGCAAATTGCTAAATTTTGGTGATTGGCAGATTTTAATTTGGCGAATTGGTGGCCATGTGCCATTGAGCATGGGAATAATGGCTCAAAATGGTGGGTTTTATTTTGGCGAATGGCTATCAAAATGCCAAATTTGCCAAATTTAATTCCCTCCAAAACTTCCCACTATATGGTATTATTTTGAGTAGTCATTGTTAGTTATTTATTCATAACTAAAAATAAAATACGGAAATAACCAGAATGAGACTTTCTATTTCAATGCATTGATGAAGTAGGGGCTCATGGTGCAATCTATTCTTGATAATGTACACGTACACTTGTGGCAGTTTACTACTACATTTAAAAAAATTACTTTTAGGGCTACATAGTAACAGCAAAAGGACTTTTAAGTTTGGCCTTGCTATACCGCCGGTTTGATTTCAGTGAACAAACCATATGGCAGTGTCAGCACAATAGTTTCGCTTAGACGCTTACATTATGTATAATCAAAAGGCTGGTAGATAAACGGAAAGGAAGGCAGATAGATCTAGGTCTATTATAATCTACTTATCACGCTCATGAACTCCTTATTAGACCGCATCACTGGACTTTATTAGTATGCTGGTTTAACTTACTTAAGTTAAGTTGCTTTTCAAGGTACTCTCTTCTTGTGCGCCGTCTTCTTGACCGATATTAGCATTGGTGGATGTAGGGGGCCAGGGGGCAATTTTTGTGGAGTAATGTAAACTTTGTACCTAGGCTACCGTATCTAATGGAGTAAATAATTACTTAAAGTAATCAATAATATTTACTTCATTATACTGTCCCCAGTTAGTGCTGGGAACAAGGCATTCCCCCCTGTGGCTGCTATAATTAAATTTACTGGCTGAGCTACTCATTTCTTTCCCTTCTGAACTCATCTCCGATCACTGATTTTACTTATTCATTTGTTTTTATTTTTTATTCTATTTCATTTTATCAGATTTGATTTTATCTGCTGTATATTAATTCTCATTTTTTGTATTTGTTAATTATTTATTTACTTACATATTATTTATCACAATCTACTCATTATCTATTTATCACTATCCATTCATTCATTTTTTTGTTGATTATTAATTCTTATATTTTATCTGTTCATTTATTTATCTATTTATCTTATTTTCTCTTTTCTTTTGTTTCTTCTGTTTTCCGGGTGCCAGCAGTTCTTGTTGGTAACCCTTCAGGATGCTTCCTCTGTCCTCTCTTTCTCTCTGTACTGTACTTATTTTTTATTGTTCTACGCATTCTGTAAAATTACAATTAAATTAAATTAAATTAAATTATTATCTATGTGTAAACAGTGAAGCAGCTGCGAATTGACTATGTAAACAATCTGTAAAGCACAAAGGAGATCATTTAGTAGGCTAAGGCCTTGTGTACCTTGCTACAAAAATACACTAGGCAACTTGTTGCCGAGCCGGAACATGTTGCTAAGAATAGAAAGGGTGTTGTTCTATTTTTGGCAACGTGTTGCTTGGTTGCCTGGTTAGTCTTTGTACTAATAATTTTGACTTCTCTATAGTCTTTCATGGCTCTGCAGTCTGCACAAGCCATTATATATAATGCAGCAAAAAATATTATTTTCAAAAAGGGTTTATCCAAGTTCTTGATAAGTTTCAACTAGCTAGCCGCTAAATCCTTTGTTTCCACTACAACAGATAGATCTACAGCTATTGTCTTGCTGTCCAAAGGATCACCAGGCAATAGCTGCCAATGATCAAACACACATTGTGGGAATGTAGCCTATTCGCGTAGCCAGACCCATCCCCCTTTTTGACTAGTAATAGTGGGAATGCTGACCTCCAGTGCTAACATGAAGATCACTAATAATTTAGTAGATAATGATAAAGTAATAATAATGATGATGATAATAATAATAATTGCTTCCACCCATCACCAAGGCCTTTGATGATCTCTTGCACCGTGCTCTTTCTGATCTAGTTGGGGGGCCTGTTTCAGAATGGTCTCACCTCAAAGCCTCTCTCCCTGTTCGATTAGGAGGCCTTGGTCTCAGGCAGGCTGGTCACCATGCTTCTGCCATGTTTCTTAGTTCAGTTCATGCTTGTACAGATCTGGTCAAGTCTCACTCTAATCACTCTATTCCTCCATCTTATGTCTCCTCTGCTTTCACAGTCTTTTGTTCCATTTCAGGTCATTCCCCTATCAACTCTTTTGAAGACTTCAATGATCAATCTTGTTATCAACCAAAAGTCCTTATCTCGAGCCATTGATTCTCTTCTTTATGACAAGCTTCTCTCCTCTGCCACTGGTCCTCGTTTTCGTGCTCTCTCCCTCTCGTCTAGTATCCCTCATGCATGCAGGAGACTGGCTCCTTGCCTTGCCTTCGCCCAGCTTAGGTTTACATTTCCTTGACTTAGAGTTTAAGACTTGTCTGAGGTATTGGCTAGGTATCACTCTTTTTAGTTCTGACATTGTTTGTCCCCTCTACACCAGAGCCTGTGATTCCCTTGGAGACCATTCGGTGGCTTGTGGTGGGAACGGGGACAGGATTCTCAGGCACAACACTCTTAGGGATGTTCTATTTACTGCTGCTCAAGCTGCAGCTCTGTCTCCCCGTAGGGAGGTCCCTTCGATTGTGCCTGGGTCCTATTCTCGTCCTGCTGACCTTTACCTGCCTAATTGGTCTCAAGGCAAACCAGCGGCCATGGATGTAACTGTCATCTCCTCCCTTCAACCTCAGAGGGTCTCCCAGGCTGCTATTTCCCAAGGTTCAGCCTTACTGTATGCAGAGGAACGCAAAAATATCGTTCACTTTGAGGACTGTAAGCGGGTGGGGGTCTCCTTCTTGCCTCTTGCTGTTGAGGTGTGGGTGGCTGGAGTCTCAGTGCCAAGTCCACCATCAGAACTATTGGACATTATCTGGCTTCTCGTCGAGGTACTGCTCCAGGGTTGATCACTCAGCACCTTTTCCAGAAGCTTTCGGTAGTGCTTTGGCGAGCTAATGCTCATGTGGCTCTGCAGATCTCCACTCCTCCCTCCTGAGGTGGATGGGTCTATTTAACTTTTGTTTATTTTGTTTTCTTTTTGTCTTTCTCTCGCGTTCTCCCTCTCCTCCTTTCTATATATTCCCTCTCTTTTTGTTGCCCTTTTCTCTCATAATAATAATAATAATAATAATAATAATAATAATAATAATAATAATAATAATAATAATAATAATAATAATAATAATAATAATAATGGATGGACTACCTTAACTTGGTCTTGCTTTGTTTATTTTGGTTTTGTTTTGGTTTTCTTGTTTTGCTGTTATTGTTTCTTATAATAATAATAATAATAATCTAATTTCTTCAAAAGCAAATGATTGTTGTTATAAAATTTTTACTGTGCAATTAATAAAGTAAATGAACAAAAATGTTAGCCTGGTAAAAATTTTCAAACATTTGCAATTAAAAGTGTGTGTATTTTGCTGATGATCCTGCCCTACGTGCCCTTGTTACTTTCAGTTTGTTGTTTTGTTTCCATTTATTGACAATAACAAAATGTATAGCATAATTGTTTTGAGATTTCAGTTGTCTTTGTAACTTGAAGAAAAACACTGGTATGAAGAAAGTTTGAGTTGTTTCCAACAAATAATTTTTGAGTTATGAGCATATTAAAAAATAATCCAATTTTTGAAAAAAGCTAAGGCTTATTATTATCTCATGGTTTTTTCAGAAAAATGAATTCAAAATAACCTCAAATTTTTATTACATTTTTTGATACACATTGATGTCCATGTGTTATGCAGAAAGTTTGAGCTGATTTTAACTTAAAGTCAGTTTTCAAGTTATGGCCATTTCTTAAAAGTAGCAAATAGATTTTTGCTTATCACAGATTTCATGACAATAGAAGGAATGGCTTTTTTCTTGTCATGTAAAACATCACTAAGATAATTATAATTGCAATTAATTTTAATTACTATTACTGATTTACTGTACCACATGTACATGCATGATGCATGTTACTATTATATACTGTAATATTGGGAACTGGGATCTGAACTGTATAGTAACCAGATATAGAAATGGAACACAACTGAGTGTATAAAAGAACAGCACACGTATCTCAGTAATGTAAGAATGGCAACCGCACTAGGTTCATGCAAAGAGGACTTTGGCCACAATAAGGATAAAATGCATACATGTAAAGTAACAATAAAAATAATAACAACAATAATAATAATACTGGTAATATAATAACAATAATAATACATGAATAATGATCATTACATAACATTTGTACAACAATAATTAAATAGTAATAATGATAATAATAATAATACCGTACGGTTGGTAAATTTCGTGGGGTATTAATTTTCGTTAATTTCGTGGTTTATTTTTATCCACGAAATTTTAACTCCTACCCACCCACACATAAAAGCTAATTAACGGGCCATGCAGAGCTCTAACTACTATTTTCAAGCCAGTGGAGGAGCCAGTGGCGTAGCTGAGGTAGGGCCTGAGGGGGCCTGGGCCCTACCATCAAAGTGGCCTTATAATTATATTCATAACCAAAAGGTTATATTCATTGTTCTTACAATAACAAAATGGGATGGCTGATAACCACAGCTCTTTTAAAGCTATATACAATGATAATTTCACTCTGATTTTGCTCAGCTTGCAGGAAAATGCCTCCATTTTGTTACGTAAAAAGGGAGGAGCCAGAGTTTTTGTCTGTTACTCCATATTCCACCATAAGCCATGTGTTGGAAGCTAGTCCAGCAGATCCAAGTGAAAAGAAGTTTGCTTACTACCACCCACGAATATTTGTACCCACGAATATTAGCTTCTAAGGACATTTTGGAGACTGAAAACACGAAATTTTGGACCCTCGAATATTACCAACCGTACGGTAGTATAGTTACATGTACATGTATGCATACTGAAATGTCAATGCACCATTATCACATACATTAGTATTACTATTGCATATTGTTAAACAGTTATTGCCCTATGTCTGGCCCGAGGGGTCCGCAACTAAACAGATTCGTCTACGAGATTCTAGAATTCCAGAATTTCCAAGTGTAATTTAAAATTCC